GGGGGAGATGGGACCACGTTGGTGTCACTGGGGGGGGGGAGGGGGATGGTTTGGTGACCCCTTGATGACATCACGATGATGTCATTGTGACGTCATGATGACATCACACCCCCCCAGGTACAAATTGAGCCCCTGAACCCCCAACAGAGCTGGGCACTGACACGAGGGTCAAAGGAGCAGAATGAATTCCTGGCACCTCATCCTACCTCTTTGCTGCCATCGGGGTCTGTGTCACTGCTGAAATCTTCCGTGTTGAGGTTCTCAAAATCTGACTCCCCCACAGCAATAGGCACCCGGACAGTGAGGTTGGGGTTGTTGATGAAGGACATGTGGTCTTCATCTATGATGTACTTCTCCACGCTGCTGCCGATGCCGCTCGTGGTGCCGTTGCCGTTCTTCTGATAATCAATGTCCCTGTTGATGTCGGCCCCGGTGTGGTTGGCGATGCAGTTCACCTTCTTGTCATACAGCTCGTCCAAGGGCTTGACCTCGTCTGCCTCCCTCTGCTTAAAGTGGGCCTGCATGAACTCCCTCACCTTGGCCTTGGTCCAGGCGATGCCCTTCTTGATGCGGATCACCGAGATCTGCAGGTTGTTCATCTCCCCGTCGTCGTCCGTGGCCGCCAAGTTGTCGGCGCTGAAGGAGCTCAGCAGCAAGGCCAGGAACAGGTTCAGCACCTGGGAGAGAAGAGGAGAAGGCAGGCTTGGCAGAGCTGCCACACCAGGGTTTGATTGCCAAAGGAGGATTTAGCCACCCGAGTCCTGCGGAGCCTCCAACACCCCCCAGAGAACCAGCCCTGATGTCCCACAGACCCATCGAGGTGCCCAGGACTCAGGGAACAAGACACTGATCCTGCACCGTGTGCCACGGTCAGGGGGAACCCTGTGCAGCACCTTGGGGGCAGGGAAAATGGTCCAGGGCACAGATCCCCTTGCAGGTGCTCAAGAGAGGGGTGTAAGCAGCAGCTCCCCAAGGGATTTACATTCAACGTTGCTGGTTTAATCCCATCTCTGGCTCAACAGAAATGGGACAAATCCAGGCATTTTGAGCCACCACTCCCAGCTCTTCTTCCTTGCCCACATCTAGTGATAGTCCCCAAGACTTATTTTGCCAAAATCCCCTTGGCAAGACAAGTCCTCACGACACTCCTCTGAAGACATGCAACTGTTCACACTACTTCCTTCTTGCTTCCATTTCCCTCCACAGACTTTTCTTCATACAATTTAGGACCAGAAGGAAACATCCTGCTCCAGTCTAACCTCCCACTCAACAGGCCAAGCAGCTCCACCAGGCAGCTCTTCAGCTGAACCTCCTGACTGAGCCAGTGGGCAGATTGCAACAGAACCTTCCAACCTGATTTTAACCTTCCCCTGCCTGCCAAGTTATTTCCTCTCCTGGCATGTGAAAAGCCAGTTTTGGCTCCTTTTGAGCTGCTTTCACTCCCTCAGCCAAGGTCTGTCCCCTTGGACTGGGGGGTTTGTACCCCCAGCTTTCATTTCAAAGTGCTCAGATGCTTTATTTATGGGCAGCTGTTCCAGGCCCTAGTCAAGCAAAGCACATCCCTAACATTGTGCTACCAAAGCCCAGGGACTGTTGGTTTATCAAAGGCCAGGAAGGACCCCAACAGAGCTAGAAGAGCCCCACACACCATTGCTCCCTGCTCCTGTGGTCTTCCCCATCACCTACCCCACCCAGAGGCAACCAAGAAAGACCATCAGTAACCATTTACTGACCACCAAATTTCCGATGACCATGACCATCATGAAGACAATCAAGCACATGGCCTGTCCTGCCACTTCCATACAATCCCACATGGTCTCAATCCATTCCCCACACAACACACGGAAGACAATAAGGAAGGAGTGGAAGAAATCGTGCATGTGCCAGCGGGGCAGCTCACACTCCGGATTGATCTTGCAGACACACTCCTTGTAGCTTTTGCCAAAGAGCTGCATCCCCACCACAGCAAAGATGAACACGATGATGGCCAGCACCAAGGTCAAGTTCCCCAGAGCACCCACTGAGTTTCCGATGATTTTTATCAGCATGTTCAGAGTGGGCCAGGACTTGGCCAGTTTGAAGACTCTCAGCTGCAAACAAAGAGAAATAAAATCAAGCCAACACAACAACAAACCAAAAATCAAACAAAAAAAAACCCCAACCCAAACCAGACAGATGACAATTTAATTTCACCCTAAACAAAGAAGAAAATCAGGCAGAAAATCACTTCCTACACAGGAACCATCTTGTATTTCATGTAAACAGAAGCTCATGCTGCTGCCACTGAAGTCAGTGGGAGCAGGGAATGTTTCACTGCCCTCTGAATGTTCTGCTTGGTTATCCCCCCCTCCTGGTCTCCCCTTACAAAGGAGAAGCCTTGGAGCTTCCTTCTTGCCCTGCAAGCTTTGTGACACAAAAAAGTCAGGAGACTGATTTCAAAGTGTGTGTCACAAAACATCACCTTTTTCTTCCCTGAATGTTTCTCATCTTCCCCTGGAAAAAGAAGGAATTGTTTTCCAGGCATATCCAGAACACACAATCAAAGCTTAATTTCCAGAGAGTCTTCTCTGGAGATAAGACTTTCAGAAGCTGGAATAGCAGGAGCTTTACTGTGCTCCTTGCAAAAGGCAACCTCAGTCATGGTTCCTCTGCACCCAAAGATCTAACCTCGAGGTTTTCATCAGTTGATTTTCAAAAGCTTAACCCCTGGCAGCACAAGTCAAAGCACAGGAAGGCTGTTGGCACCCAGCACTCTGACCACACTGCAACACACAACCTGCCAGCTCTGGCCACATGAATAAGCAGGACATCCTAATGTGGTCCCTCTCCATCCCTGTCAAGTTCCATACACCAAGATACCTCCAGGTCCTCCTTCACTGCCTAAATGCCACGAGCTGCTCAGATCTCATAAACAGCAGTTGTGAAGTAAGAAGAGACCATAAAAATGCCATCATTCCATCTGTTTGCTCCTTAAAATGACAGAAAAGTGGCCTTTTCTTATGCTTTCTAGCAGCTCTGAGATAGAACTGTTCAAAAGGGACTGAAACACTCAATACCAGTCGGAAAGATCTCAGCACAGAAAGTCCTTCCACATCTGCCAGACTCAGTTCCATCAAACTCAGGGAGACAATAAACCCATCAAAGATGTTCCAGCCTTCTTGGAAATAATAGTAGGGATCCATGGCAATGAGCTTCAGGAACATTTCTGCTGTGAAAATTCCAGTGAACACCTGGAGTGGTGAGGAGAGAGACAGACAGAGAACAGGCAAAGACCTGCTTGTTTTCTGATCTTCAGGCTAATTAGCAAACACCACAACTTGTCCCACCAGCTCCAACGTGCAGCCTGTGCAGGCCACATGTGCCTGTTTGCAGCTGCCTCTTCTCCTCCAGCACAGCACAAACATCACTGACCCACCCAGGGAAACCAGGAATGAACAGATGGATGTTTAAGCAGTAACAAATCCTGACCAGAGAAGGGCACCCTTAGCAAACACCTCTGAGCTGCCACAGATGGCAGTGGGGCTCCAGCTCACACTGCTCTGTGTCCTCTGGAGCCTGGAACTGCTGCTCTTTCAGTCTAAGTCCACACTAACAAGCAAGGTATCCCAGTTGGAGCAGATCCCTAAGGGATCTTTACTGTCTTACCAGGTTTCCCACAGAGAGCACGTGTTCAAACTCTGGGGTCATGGGGTGGTGCTCCATGGCCATGAACAAGGTGTTCAGCACGATGCAGATGGTGATGGCCAAGTCAACAAAAGGATCCATGACAATTAAGTTCACAATCTCCTTCAGCTTGATCCAGTACGGGTGGCATTCCCAGATCAAGAATGTGTTGGCAAACTTGTACCAGCAAGGGGGACACTTCCTCTGGGACTCTTCCAGCTCTGCAGGTACAAACCAGAACAGCAACTGAGTTGAGCCTCCACCTCCAAGGCTGCTGGATCCCTGATGCTCAGCATGACTAAAACTGTTTGTTCCTGCCTGTCCTGACCCTCTTGTGTCTCTTTCTTGCACAACAACCCAACATTCTCGGGCCAAATACAAGGTTTTGCCACATGTACACACAACACTCCAAACCCAAGAACTCCAGGGTGTTTGGCAATAGCTCCAAAGAGCTCCTAAGCCATGAATCTTCCAATTATGGCCACTCCTGCAGGTCCCAACTACAGAGAGTCGAGTCTTTGTACTGAGCTTCACCCACTTCTCCTTTGTCCCCACCAAGAGCGTCTTCATATAGAATCACACAATGGTTTGGGTTGAAAAGGACCTCAAAGACCATCTAGATCCAACCCCCTGCATGGGCAGGGACACCTCCCACCAGCCCAGGTTGCTCCAAGCCCCATCCAACCTGCCCTTCAGCACCCCCAGGGATGGGAACTGTTCTTCATCCACATGGGGTGACCAGGAAGTGCAGCTCTGAACCTGTACAACAAGCCCTGCCTGGATCTCCTGATTCAATCCAAATGCTTCTAAATGAAGGGATATATTTAACTCTGAACTGATCAAGGTAAAATGGTTTAAATCAAAGTTGCAGATTCTAAATTGTCTTTGGTGCCAGTTTTTAAATAACTGAAAATGAATTCTGTGCTGAATGCAGATATGATCTAAAAGAGGAAATATATGACATAATGCAGCAAAGGATTTTAAACAAGAATAACCTCATTAAGACCAACCACATCCAAGAAATCAAGTATGATGCTCTGTCCATTATTTGGGGGCTAATTTCAAGTGCTTTTGGGGTGGGGGTGGGAAATTACGAGTTTTCCCTCCCTGTTCTTTGACTTGCAATGGTTGCATTCAGGCTACACAGCTGCTCATGCTGAAGTGGTTTTTTTATGGACAGGGAAAGGACCCACTGCACTGTCTTCTCATTGGTTCTCTGGTTGCTTAGTGTTTAGTTGCCTTGGAATTTCTAAAGTTGAAGAAGGGATGGTGGAGCTGGAGCCTGTGGGCGGCTGCGCAGGAGGGAAGCAGCAGCAGAACCTTCCTCTGCTTCTAAGTATATATTTAGTTTTCATACAATTTTATTGCAGGAGACAGCGGGAATTTGAGATCACCAACCTCGTATGGCTGCTGTTCATGAAATTCTTGCTGGCTCCTGCAGCAGCCACTTGGAAATCTCAGCTCTATGTTTCAGAACTGCCATCAGGCAGAAGGTTCCTTCCCTGCTGCCAGGGTCACCCTGCAGCTCCAACCTTCACCTCCTGCAGCCTGTAGGCACAAGAGGGTCTCTCCAGTCCTTGGGAGATGGCAGAACACCTGTACCAGACACTGTCTTACTCTTTCATCTCCATACTGCACACTCATTTACAATTACAACTCCTTGTTGCCTTTACCTTCCTATCTGTAGAATTCAGGTGCAAAACCAAGTCTAAGAAATCCTTCTGTATCAATAACGACTCAAAAAAAAAGCAGGTTTGGGCAAACCCGAAGCATGAGTAAGTACTCCAAAGCAGGGCTGGGTCCTGTCTTCCTACAACACACCACGAGAGGGCAACGGGCACCTTTGTAGAGAAGAACACCAACCCCAACCCACACCTACCCTCAACCAGGGTGTTGGTCAGCCCGGTCATCACGCTGTTGGTTCGGTCCTTTCTCCCGTAGGACGCGTTCACTTGATCCATGGAGACCAGGAGAGACCCACCAGGTTTCTTCCTAATTTCAATTTCTGTTGTGCCCTGAGGAAAAAAAAAATCCACCTGCTGATTATTCCAAACCCTTCCATCTTCCCAATGTTTTACCTGCTGGCAGCCTAGGAACACGGCACGTGCGTCCAAGAGAGAAAAACTGAGAGTGATGGAAGGAACAAACCTCACCATCACTCTCACTTTCCTATATAATTAAGTGGCCAAAGCAAAACTCCAGCCCTCACCCCTGCCAGCCCCAGCACCCTGAGAGGAACCAAGGGCTGTTATTTTACAGAAGATTTCTGACAGAGGCTCCTGTGGCACAGAGCACTTTCCACTCTCTGCTGCCACCAAACAGCACAGATGGCCAGTGGCTCCTCTGACCCATCCACTTTACAACCCCTCTGCTCAGTGGCAGCTCCACCTCAGCCTCATTTGAGCCACCCAAATTCACCAGGGTTAGGAACTGAGCACTTGACAGTATCAGCATTTATTATTATTTTTTCTGGAACTGAAAATTAGGGTAAAAGGAGCTCGGATCCACTAGCACCCCCAAGTCCACATCCTTCCTGTGCTGGGGGCACCAGAGCTGGACACATTACTCCAGGTGAGGTGTCACCAGGGCAGAGCAGAGGGACAGAATCACCCCTCTGGGTTTGCTGGCCACACTTCTGGTGATACAGCCCAGGGTGGAGTTGACCTTCTGTGCTGCATGTTGGTGGCTCACGTCCAGATTTTGATCCATGAGCAC